ATTTGTTTATGTTATTCTTAGTTTAACATTATATCTCTTTGAGCCAAATATATTCCTAATTTATAAAGAGACAAATGTGTTACAGACAAATGTTGTGGAGCTGTAAGTGCAGAGACAGCAGGAAGGAAAGAGAAAGGGAAGAATCCAAGACGGTGGTGCTACAGAATCCAAGTGAGGAAAGAGATAGGAGGAGAAGGGAGTGGTTAACAGTGAGAAAGGAAGAAGAGATGTCAAGTGAGACAAAAATGGCTTTAGCATTGAAGAGGTCCCTGGTGACCGTTGACATAGTGGTATCCACAGAGGCTGGTGGAAAAGCAGAGGCTATAGAAGGATGATGGGTAACTGTGAATTGAAGGAAGGGGACAGTAACTTGGACCAGGGTTAGCAAACTACGGCTCACTAGACACCTCTGCCTTGCCACATGCTTCTGTAAATAATGTTTCATGAGCAGTCATGCCCATGCATTTCAGACTGTCCAGAGCTGCTTTCAGTGCTACAGTGGCAGAGAGGAACAGGGGAGAAAGAGACCATACAGCCCCCAGAGCCCTTTAAAGGAATCATTTGCTGTCCTCTGACCATTTTTCTACATGCACAGCTGTAGGAACAAACAGCCATGTAGCTACAGGGAGACATAGGTTGAAGGTTTTTGTTTTTAATTACTATAAAGCAATATCACCCAGCTGGTATGGCTCAGTGGTTGAGCATCGACTCATGCACCATGAGGTCGCCAGTTCAATTTTTGGTCAGGGCACATGCCCAGGTTGTGGGCCAAATCCCCATATTTGGTTGTGGGGGGCATGCAGGAGGTGGCCAATCAATGTTCTCTCTCATCGATGTTTCTCTCTCTCTCTCCCTCTCCCTAAAATCAATAAAGAAAAAAAAAAGCAATATGGAAGACTCTCTAGACTAGGAATTGCCAGTGTAGAGGAAAGAAGTAAGACACTGGAGAGAGTGGGACTAGTCTGTGAAGAACACAGAGGAGCCACCAGGGCAGAGTAAGAACATGAGGTGAGGGGCTCCCTAGTGACAGGGTGTCGCAGGCTGCTGTCTCCCTCAGGGATGGTTAGGATAAATTCACAGTAGGGGCACATGAGGGACAGATCTGTAAGAAGGCTCAGAACCCACTCTGTGTAGTTTAGAAAGAGAGGCTAAAAGAAGGGCTATTTTGCCAAATCATCTGGTCTCTATGGGCCACAATTTCACCATCAGTAAACTGAATTTTTATCTGGGGATTGGAAAGTCTAACCAATCAAGAATTGTACAGCACTCTGCAACTATAAAATGTCACTGAAATGCTTAACAACAGAATTCTCCTGACACTAGAATGCTGTGAGAGCTAAGCGGCAGATGCTTTCATGGTACCTGAAAGATGAAAATCTCAGTGTAGACACTGTGTCCTACTAACTACCATCATTATAAAAGGCAGGTAGCAGAGTCAGTGAACATGAATCCCAACTGCACAAAACCAGGCAGACTGAAAGTGCTTTATAAAGAACGACGAAGGGCCCTGGCCAGTACGGCTGAGTTGGTTGAGCGTCATCCCATGCACTGAGAGGTCATCAGTTCTATTTCTGGTCAAGCTCAATCCATGTGTGGGAGGTAGCTGATCAATGTTTCTCTCTCTCCCTCCCCACTTCTCTCTCAAAAATCAATAAGAACATATTTAAAAAAAATAAAAAACAAAGACAGGTAAAATACATTAAGAAGGGGGTCATTCACTTTTCCCTCTAACCTTAGGAGGCTCTAAGTATATGATCATTTCGGTTTTAGTTTCAACTTTTTCTTCCTACATTTGCACCAAAGAATCATAAAATATTAGAACTTGATGAGTTCTTCAATAAAACTGATTTCAAACCACTTATTTTATAGACGATGAACTTAGACCCAGAGAAGTCACATTATTTAACCAAGGGCCTAGAACAGGCATAAGACTCCTCTGTTTTCCTCCATCGGTGCCTCCATAAGAGCTCAACTCAATGGGACTGCCAGAGGGCTGCATATGCCCAAGGGGCAGGGCAGGGGCAGTAGAGCTCTTCTTGGAGGGCCTGTTATCTGGCTATATTTATGCAACTGTGGACAGCAGGTGTACCACATGGTAGTTATGCCCTGGGTCAGTCCCCTAGAGCAGTGGAACATACCAGCCCCTTGGGACCCTCCTACTCCTCTGGTACCGACACTTTCAGGAGCAGGCACGAGTCAGGGGAGCCCTGCCATGCTTTCTCCAGTGGAAACGTGCTCCTCAGTAACCCTTTGGGTGAGGTAGTGGGGCGGGGGTATTTCAGACCAGCTCAAAATGTCTGCACTCCATTGTGTAAGTAACAAAAGTAGGTACCCAAACAGCACATAGTGGATTGTGTCTGTTTCAAATGAAAAAAATTATATAAAAACCAGCTGTTAAGCTTTTGGGGGTTATGAACAACTTTCAGAATCTGAAGAAATCTTTCTGTAGAAAAATGTATGTACTTCATAAATCTGACACATGTCAAGGAGTCCATGGGCCACTTCCCATTCATAGGCTCCTAGGGTGTCCTTAGACTACTACCCATTGTCCACCCTCTATCCACAACTAAAATTATACTAACAGTGGTTCTCTCTAGGTGGTAGAATCCTAGAGGACTTTTCATTTTTTAATCCCTTTTGGTATTTTCCAAATATTCTATGGTGACATTTTGTTTAGCCTAATCAGAGAGAGTATTATTAAAAAACTGAGTCTTAAATGTACACACCCCAAACTCCTATCATCTGTGTTACTGCATTAGCTTTAAAGCACCCCAGGGGCCTTCAAAAAGTCCTAATACATCACCTACTCAAGTGAATTTTTATGTTACTGATCTTAATACTCTTTATACTTTAATATGGCATATTTTGCTGTATTTAGGTCTGAGATATTTCAAGTAAAAGACTCAATGAGAAATTCCAAATCAATGTATCTCATTACTCTAGGTGCTTTTACAGAAATTCCCACACCTGAGTATGTCTGAAGAAAATGTTCTGTTGGCTAGCTCAATTAGTTAAAAATCTTTTTCTCTCATGCTTACCCTTTAATTCTTTTATATCTCCGATGGCTACTTATCCAGCTCAAGAACTGGATTCTCTTAAATGTCAGTTTAAGCTAAAGGACACCAGGTAAAGGTGCACTGTCCAGGAGGCAGATTAGATCCCAATACAGCAGATGGACTCTAGCCCTGAGAAGCAGCCAGAGAAGGAATGCGTGCAGTGAATAAACTACAGTGTAATAAGAAATCTTGGGATGGATAGGTAAAGCCATCTTAGAGAGTTCTGGGGAGTATCTGGTGTAAGACACAGGAAGAAATATGCCTCAGAAATTATTTCAATACATAAGTGACATAGTATGACACAGCCTTAATGGTGGTCTACTCCAGACTTCCTGTCCTCTCACCTTCCCACCCAGGTTTATGAACTTGAGTCTCCAAGCCAGGAGTCTCCTCTTTAACACATAGAAGCCCCAAGGCAGTTTTCTCTGAAGGGCTGACTAAGCTGGCATAGCCACAGCCTCACCAGAAGCAGGCTCTGCCTGACCAGCCAGTAAGAGTTCAACAGACAGACACTGTTCTGGAATACCCTTGTCTATTAAGAGCTTTGAGTGTAAATGGGAGTGGGGGCTGAGTAAGCCCATGAGAAAAATTGGGGAGCTGAGGTCATGCAGAGAAACATCAACTATCAGTTACTGAGCTGCCAGAGAAGCTGCTGCTGGCTCAGCCCAGGAGGTCGAGTCCTGACTGAAGGACCGAACATACACATGTGCACATAAACCCATCTGCCCATCCATCTTGCTGAGGGCAAGAATGCCACAGTGCTTTCCACGGACAGAGGAGCAGTCTGGCAGAGCAGAATGAACAGGCAGGCAAGTCTGAGTTCAAATTCAACCTCTGCCACTTGGTAGCTACATGGCCCAGGACAAACTCCTTAACCTCTCTGAGCCTTAGTTTCTTCATCTATAACACGGAGATACCAATACCTACCTTGTAAGGTTATTATGAAGATTAAATGAAATAACTTATGTGATATGTGTTAGAAGGCACTCGTTATATAACAGGGTAATTTCTTGCTCCTTAGTCAAGTCTATTTGCTATTTAGCCAAAATGATTTTTCTAAAGCAAAAATCTGACTTCCCAGTTCCCCACTTGAAGTATTTCAATGGCTCCCCTTTACACCCAAGATAAAACGCAAAACCTGCTGATCTAAGAAGTCTGACATGTCCTGGTCCTTGTCAACCTCTCTCCGTTGCTCTCCTGTGCTCCAGCCACATGGACCATCTTTAAAATGTAAGCCTTCCCATCTTGAAGCCTTCACATAGGTTGAAAGCCCCTTCTTCCAGATCTCAACTGCCTGGCTAACAACTCCTCATTACTTCTCTGGAAAAAAAGCTTTTCTCTCCCTCCAGACTAAGTCAGGCCTCCTGACGATGCTTCCTTCACATCTCTTTCGCAGTACTCCGTCTGCATGGTAATTATACTTGCAATGATTTAAACTATGTCTTAGACAGTAAGGTAAAGAAACTGTGCCCTTTTTTGACTATCTCTGATTCACCAGGATGCAATACCAAGGACAATCCCAGGCCCACATCAAAAGCTTAAAACTCTTGTTGGATAAATGAATGAAAGTTCAGAGGAGGCTTGGGAAGCATTAGCTATTAATTTGGTTAGTATTTCTCTGCAACACTTAAACACGTTCTGCCTGGCATGCTTTATTAACGTTTCATTTTTCCTTCCCTTGCTGGATTTTTAGTTTTGTTGTATACAACTCTGAATGTTCCACTGCCTCCATACAAGAGGCTCCGAGGAGATGATCCATGGTGGGAAATGGCATGGAATGGAAGAGAGTGTTAAGTGGCCTGAACAAGAAAAGAGAAAAAGGTGAACTCTACCTTAAAGGCAGCTGTGGACTGAGATAATAGGTGTCCTGCCCTAATCTCTCCTTCTAAGGGGCATTTAAATTGACCTTTGTGGAAGGTGAGAATTGAACAGAGCAACACTTACTTGTTCCCATGAAGAAATCATATGACGTTCGGCAGGTGCCTTTTCTATGATGGTCACCTCTGTCACACCTGGGGATGATTCTGAAAGAGGAAAAAAAAGATTCTGTACAGTTGCAGTTGGTTGGCTCTCATACATTTCTACAATAGACAGGTGAATGTGCTCAGATCAGAGAAAGTGAACATCTACATGACTTAAAAATCGTGGCCACCGAGCCAGACAAATTTACACTTAATATGTAGGATTTTTTGTTTGTTTTTATGGATTTCTCAGGATTTTTTAAATATACAAGATCATGTCATCTGCAAATAGCAATAATGTACTTCCTTCTCTCCAATTTGTATGTCTTTATTTTCTTGGCTAATTTCCTTGACTAGATTCTCCAATATAATGTTGAAGAGAAGAGGTAAAAGGGGGAATTCTTATTGTAAAGAAATGAGTAAAAACAACAGGTCTCATATTACAGTCTTTTTTTTTTTTTTCTTTTTTATCCTCACCCGAGGACATTTTTCCATCTTTTGTTCAGGTAGAGTGGGAGGGAGAGAGAGGAACAGAGAGAGAGAAACATCAATGTGAAAGGAACACATCGAGTGGCTGCCACCCGCACAACGGACAAACTGCAACCGAGGTACGCGCCCCTATTGGGAACCGAACCCAGGTCTCTGAGGACCGCAGGCCGGTGCTATAACCGCTGAGCCAAACCGGCCAGGGCTCATATTACAGTCTTTAGAAAGGCCTGCTTGTAAGGTTGGCCCCTGACTGGCATCTGGAAACTTGGATTTCAGGAGGGTACCCACCATTTGCTGGCAAGAATGCCTCACTGTACCTAAATGTTAGTGTAAACACTGTCATTTATGCTGAACACCTGCTTTCCTTCTGGGAGTCTGGAGTTTGGTACATACTAAGTAGGTGTCTAAGTGGCTGATTTACAATAAAAGGGCTGAACTCCTAAGTGCAGGTGAGCATCCCTAGTAGAAATTACAGACGTGCTGTCCCATTGCTGGAGGAATGAAGTGCGTCCCATGTGATTCCCTGACTTCCCCACACGCACTTTTCCCTTTGTGTTTGCTATAACAAATCACAGCATGACTGTCTGTCAAGTCCTGTGATTCTCCTAGTGAACCATCAAACCTGGTGTGGTCTTGGGAACCCCCAAAACATGTGTCGTTCCTGATCATAATGGGAAAGCATCCAATTTTTCAACATTTAAGTATGGTGCTAGGTGTGGGTTTTTCATACATGTCCATTAACAAGTTGAGCAAGTTTGATTTCCATTCGATATCCTACTTCTACTTTTTTAGTGTTTTTTTTTCAAAGTCTTGAAATGGTGTTGGTTTTGTCAAGTGCTATCTCTATACCTTGACATGATTATATGGGTTCTGTCGTTTATTCTATTATCAAGGTGCATTATATTAATTGATTTCATATGTTCAACAAACTGCACATTCCTGGGCTAAATCACACTTGGTATACAATCTTTTTAATGTTTATAAATTTGGTTTGATAGTATTTTGTTGAGGATTTTTAAATGTTTGATTTTGGACAGAAATGTTGCAGTTATAAAGTTATTTCATACCTTTTAGATAGGAGATTTTGGGAGTTTGCTTACCACATACCTACCACTGACTTCCGCTATCTCGTTTTAAAAAATCCTCTTAACATATTATCTTTTCAAAACAAAATACAAATGTGAAAAAATATAAAATAACTGATTTTCAATTTGTGATTAACTTGAAATTATGAGGTTCGATTAAATTTATAACGGGAGGCTAGATTCACTATATGCTTAATTATCAGAGTTGTTTAATTCCTTGGGTAAGTTTTGTATTGAAGTGTTACCTGTTTGCCAAACATCTGAAATGAGTAATAGATAGACTATATTAAAAGCACAGGATGTTTACAGTCATTTAATTATTCAGGCTTTGAAACTGACCTGACAATTTAAGGAAAATTTAGTTGGCTTGACTTGAGTAGATTAAACATTAATCAAAAGAAAATAACTTATTTGCTGAGAAATTCCTTGATTTATAGAGAATAGTAAAGCAAGCCTGTAAAAGAGCAAGACCTACCTGACTAACCAGGAGTATAGGAAGTAACAGAGCAGAAGCTGTGATAAGAATGAGGAGATAGGATATAGTGGTCTTGATTAGATTTCTCCTTGCCCCACTCTGTAACTTCATTTCTAAAATGTATCACTTCTCCCAACCATATCATGGTGTTTCATATCTAATTTTCTGTTTTAGGCACTGGGAAATACAGGGGAGAATAAAACAAAATTCCTATCCTTGTGGATTTCTATTACATAAAAGAGACAAATTTAAAAAGCAATCAAATAAACACCTAATTCTAAGTAACAATAAAGCCATAAGGGTAAAAAAAACAACAAAACAAAAACGTAGGCTAAGGGAAGAGACAGCGATAAGGAAGGGTGTTATATGTAATCCAGGAAGGCTTCACTGAGGTGGTGATATTTAATCAGAGATCTGAATGAAATGAGAGAGACAGATTTAGATGGTAATTTCAGTGAAGGGTCTAGCAAATTGCAAAACTCAACGTGTTTATTATTGTACAACAAGGCGGCCACTGTGGCCAAAGCGCAGTGAAATCGGAAAGACAGATGAGGGCAGGTCATAAGGGACTGGGTGATGGTACAGCATTTAGATTTTTTATAGATGTGAGGGTGGGGCATTCAAGCATGCTATTCGGCCAGCTGGGTCTGACTTTCTCTTTCTTGGTTATCTGACTAAATCCCACTTGTCTTTCAAAATCTAGCGTCATATGTGGGATACATTCCTCAACTCTCCAGATAAGGTCAATCCTACCTCCTGTGTGCTGCTTCAGAATAATATATTACTGACCTCCTCTCACACTTCTGGGGACCTAGTCTTTCGATTCTTTTTTTTCCACATAGATGTATTAACCCCCTCCCACCGCCAATCTTTGTAGCCCCGGAGAGTCTAACACAGCGGTGGCTGCTAAGTAAATATGCGACAAAGGAAAAACACCCATTCCGCGGTGCAAAGCTGGACTCCTTTGGACTGTCACCGCGGTGCGCGAGCGCTGTTGCCCTGGGAGGTCGGCTGCAGCTTTCCCCCAGCTCACTGTCACCAGAAGGGCTTGGGACGCATCCTCGGCCAGGAAAGCATCTGGGAGACCCAAGCTCTCAACTGTCAGGTGCCCGCTGCTGTCGCTCCTCTGCACGTTTTTGCGCACCCTTACCGGGCCTGCAGTGCGACCTCGGTGGGAGAACATTCGGGCTTCCCGGCTCTGCGTCCCAGCTCCCCCGGCAAAGCTCCCTCTCTCCTCCCCCACGGAAGTCACAGCAGCGCTGCCCACCGGCTCCGAGGTCGTGTCGCCCCTCCGTGCGTGCAGCGCACGCCGCCTCGCCCCACTCACCTAGGATGCGGGTGATGCCCAGGGTCAGCTTCTCCAGGTGCGGCTTGCTGGGGCCCACGGACAGGGCCGGCGACTCCTCCATGGCTCGCGTCCCCGCTCGGCGCGCGGCCCGGGCAGCGGAGGGGACGGGGCGGGCGAGCGGGGAGGTCCGCAGGGCTGGACACCGCCCCCGAGGCGCGGCCATCAAGTTCACGGCATGCCGGGAGTTGTAGTGCTCGGCGCCTGGGACCGAGACGCGGCCGCGATGGGGGGCCCGGGCTGGTCCGGGCCGAGTAGCTCAGCGGGGCGCTCCTTCCCGCGGCCTCAGCAGGCGCTTCACACCAAGCCGCCGCGACCCAGCGACGCCTCCGCCCGGACCCTCCCGCCCCGCCGGGGCCGGCCGCGCAAGCGGGGGCGGGCCTCTGCGCCGAGCGGCCAATGGGGACGGGGCCTGGGCTCCGGGACGGGGCGGCCCCAGCACGACGCCCCGAGTGGCGGTTGTTTCAAGATGGCGGACGTGGCGGGCCCCTCCCGCCCGGGCGCCGCGGCGTTCTGGAGCCGGGACTGTATCCTTTGCCCGCCTGGCAGGGGGCGCCGGCGCCTCCCCGGTGCGGCGAGCGGCGAGCGGCGAGCGGCGAGCGGTCGCGTGGGCCCCAGCGGAGGGGAGAGCTCCGTGCTCACCTGGGGGCGCGGCCGTGCTGTCCTGCCGCGGTCCAGGTGCCGGGCTTTTCGCCTTGCTTGGGAAGTAGGTGGCAGGGTGCCTGACACTGTCCCTAGGCCGGGCTTCCAGGGGTTTCCCAGCCCTCCTTGGCGGCGAGCTCTGGAGAGATGGCCCAGGGTCGTGGCCCATCCGGGACTGGGAGGGTACCCCAGCCCTGGTGACCTCGGGCCCGCTGGCGTGGTCAGCTTGTGGAGGAGGGAAGGGTGTCGGGTGATCAGGGAGCCTCTTTGTCCTGTCTCAGCCGTGTCCTTGGTCTGCGATGTTTAAGAGGATGTCAGGATCTTCTTGGACTTCAAGGCCTGTCGGTGATGATTTAAGTTCATCATGGAATTTGCCTAGAGGTGCAGGGCTTACTTTTACCGGGACTTGGTCTGGCGGCGCTGGCAATGGAATAAACTGCAAATCATCGTGTCTGGATGTAGTGTTGATTTACAGGTAGTTGGCAGGTCATCACTGGCAGGATTAAAGTTCTTGGACTGTTTTGGGATGGAGAGACTATAGAGTTTTTACTCTTGTGGGTGGCCTTCCCAGCATTCTATGAGGAGATGTATAACATACATAAGTGGTTCTTTCCCTGGGTTGGGAAGACTGTACCGGCCTGAGCCTTGGCCCTGATAATCGACTCTGTGTTGGTTAGAGGAGTTGCATGAAAGCAAGGCAATCTGTGTTGAGTGCCTGCAGAGGCCAGTAGATTTGTCTGTGCTCAAACTGGTGGTAGCATTGTTTGAGGCGTTGCTGTTAACTTTGTGCATTCTTTGCACATTCTACTTAGCTCCCAGTGAAACTTACACAATTGTATTATCAATTCCCCTTATTTGAGTTACTAGGATTGTAGTGTCATGCCATGCAGAGAGGGATATGTTTGCATTCCGTGCTATTCAGTGTTTGGTGTTGTGCACTTTCTAAGCATAATTACCACTTGTCTCTGATAGGTTGGTGAGAGTCAACGTGAAATAATGTATATGCACTGTGGATGAATGCACACAAGTTCATTGTGCAAATTAAGTACTTTTCCTTTACCTATCGATAAGGATGCAAAGAGAATATCTACATTGAGAACAACTGAGATGAATTAGGAAGTCAGGAAATTGTGATGAGCCTTTTTTTTCTTGCTTCTGCAATGATAATTTGTGATAGAGGAGATTGAAGTCACTAACTTATCATGTGCTTCTTGAGTTTAATCATTTTCATAACCAAATATGACCAATGGTATAGTTCTGATATAGAATAAATGGTTTTGGGAGAAGGGGAGACAGTCTGTTACAGTCATACTGATTAAGTTAGTAGGTATGTAAACCAAATCTATGTTCTTGGACTCAGCAGCCCTCTACTCTCACTTAATACATGTAGTCCTGTTACTACATATTTCATGTGGAAGTTACATATATTCCCTTTTCTCATAAATTCTCCCTTACTCTAAAAATTTATATAAAATACTCATCTTCCCACTGAAAGTGAAGAATGAAATTGTATAGGAAAAATGGTGGTGATTACATTCTATAGAAATACAGGTATTTGAAAGGAATTGCAAGTTTACTAGTATCGCCTGTTTCCTCAGCCTTTTCCAACATTTAGACTCAAATAGTTTAATTTTATATCTCCATAGAACTTAAGAGCAATGACAAATGTGAACTTGTTACTGATTTTCACTAAGAAAGCATAATAGTTATGAATCATTTGGTTCAGTCATATGTCTTTGATCTTGATCTCTTGTTACATTGATGACTTGCTGGCCCACCCCAAAGAATTTATAGTACAACTCTCAATTGAAAAAGACCAAAAAGTATGTATCTATAATCTGATGCTCTTTTCACACAATTCAAAGAAAGATTGTTTAGTGCTTCCCCTAAAACAACTAGAGAAATGTGATTGAGAGATTTCCCATCCTAGATGTTTCCATCATGTGAGGACAGATCATTTGTGACTGAGTGTCATCTTTTTTCCCCATTGTTGAGTTATGCATCTTCCTGCACAATGTGATTTAGCAGTGCTGTTTTGTACAAGGTATGTCTTTGTACCTAACATGTAAACAATAGATATGCCATGTTATCATTTTATGGGTTAAATCTGCAAGTAAAATTATGCCCCTTCAGCCATAAACTGCTTTCCTGCTTTATTATAGTTCCTGGTAATATCAGAAGTCAGTGTTTCTGCAGTATTTAAATTTGGTTGCTCAAATGCTCTCAAGTGTATTATTATTAACAGTATTGGTAAGTTGATAATATCAACTATGAACTATAAGGGACCAGGTCAAAACATTGCAGTAGCTATTATGTCTGCCAGTGACTTTTCAATTAAAAATAGACAAAGACTTAATGTTTATTCTTAAAATAATATACAGGCATACCTTGGAGATATTGTGGGTTCTAGACCACTGAGTATTGCACTAAAACCAGTCTCTAATTTTTTTTCTGGTGGAGGGTCTTACCTTCAATTTGTTTAAAAAAAAAAAAAGCATCATCTGTGAAGCACAATAAAGTGAAGTGCAATAGAATGAGGTATGCATGTACTAACCATGAAAGTCATTGTGGTCAATAATAATTACATATGTATACATATGTTGCTGGTTAGTGATGTATGCTCAAAAGTTAGAGCAGAGGGGTAGTACTGAGTTTATTTCCTTCAGGTCCCGGTGATCTGGGACAGACATGCTTTTTCCTTTTTACCACTTCTGGCTCGGGTTTCTAATTACTGCTTCAATTCTGGAGTTTGAATAGATTGGTATCAGCATTAAGGATGCTTTCTAACTTGCTATACTTGTCTTATTGAGATGCTTCCAGAGAAACCAAAGTAGAACTAAGATGGCACACAGAACCAAATATGAGGTCCAGTATGAGTTTGGTATATATTATGTCTCTCTGACTTTCCCATAAAATATATGCTTGTTAGGAATCTCTGTATTTGAAAAAGGTAAATATTTCGGTTCATAGATAACAAGATGAAGATAGATTAGAAATGATTAGAAAGGATAGGTTGGATGGAGGCAATTTCAAGTATCATTAGTCTTATTTTTAAAAACGTTTGTTAAAGTTAGTTTATTTAGTGTTTTTTATATTGAAAAGAAATTTAGCATGGATGTAGCTAATGGGTTTTACCTGCATATTTTTAATAAATTAAAGAAAAGATAACACCAAAGCTTGTTGAACAGTGCCTCATAAAACTAAATATCAGTTTCATTCTTTACTATGAGCCAGGCATTCTTTGATGTTCGGAGATAGAGCATTGAGCAAAACAAGATGAAAATCTTCACCTGCTTGGTGCTTCCATTTTATGATATGAGATGAGGCCATGAATAAGTAAAATATATGTCCGATGATTATAGGTGGTATGGAGAAAAATAATGTTGGAAAAGAGTAGCTGACATAGGGGGTCTTTTGTCTCTGTTTTATGCCAGTACCATACTGTTTTGATTATTATAGCTCTGTAATATAGTTTAAAATCTGAAAGTGCGATGCCTCTAGCCTTGTTCTTTTTTTTCTCAAGGTTGTTCCGGCTATCAGGGTCTTTTGAGGTTCTTTACAAAATGTGAGATTCACCTTGGCCAGTTTGGCTCAGCGGTTGGAGCGTCGGCCTGCGGTACAGAGAGACCCGGGTTTGGTTCCCGCTAAGGGCACGTACCTCGGTTGCAGTTTGTCCCCGGCCCTGGTTGGTCGTGCGGGTGGCAGCCACTCAATGTGTCCTTTCACATCGATGTTCCTCTCTCTCTCTTCCTCTCTCTCCCTCCCGCTCTATCTGAATAAAAAATGGAAAAATGTCCTCGGGTGAGGATAAAAAAAAAAAAAAAGTGAGATGTTTATGCCATGTCTGTGAAAATGCCATTAGAATTTTGATAGGAATTGCGTGAAATCTATAAATGGCTTTGGGTAGTATGGGCATTTTTAACCATATTCTTCTAATCCATGAGCATGAAATATCCTTCCATTTTTTTGTGTCTTCTTTAATTTCTTGTATCAATGTCTTATAATTTTCAATGTACAGGTCTTTCACCTCCTTGTCATCTGTAAATAGAAGCTTGTGAAAGGTCTCTACAATTTTTTTTTTTTTTTAAGAAATAGGAAACAAAATTATTAGCTGACAGTAAGGAAGAGGAAGTGGTGTCAGGTCTGAGAAAAGATGAGAAATTATAATATACTTGTGAGCTTTCAAATCAAGGTGAGTGGGATACCCAGTAGCTGGTTTTTCCAGTTGTGAGCAGGCTTCTTTGTGAATGATCTAAGGAAGTGTAGTATAGTAATTTTTCCAGGACTCAGTTATGTTAGTCTATAGGTCATCCTTGAAGAATGTTCTGCAAATCCAACATTATTGTATCTTCTAATTGAAGAGAGTGCCATATGGAGCATATCTCGAGTCATCTTGGATTTTTTCCTCTGGGTATACATTTCCAACAGCAAATAATTAAACCTGTATTGAGTACATCTACTGTGTGTGCTAGTCCCAAAGGATATAAAAAATGAGTCAGTTTTTGCTGTTAAATAGTGTCTGCACAATTTCATTTTAAGGTTTTTTTTTTTTATATCTTGGGTGTTAATGAATTTAGAAATTCTCTCTCCGCTCCTGTGTTAGTTGCTCAGTTTCCTTCGAGTAGTGGGATCTAATTTTTTGTATGCCTACTTGTTTTATGTGCCTCTTAAAATACCAGCTCCATACCTGATAATTGAGGGAATTTGAAGTTTAGGGGCACTAGTTAACAGCCCAAATCTAGGAGCTGTGATAGTGTATATGCTGTTCTGGAAAGCAGTTAGAAACCAGCCAGAAGTACAAGCAGTATGGTCATCTTTGTATTCCGACATTGCTATAGGAATTCTCTGCATATTTAATCAGCATTTCCTGAAAAGACTCCATTACTAAGGTTGATCATGAGCTGAAATATATGGACTTTTTGAACATGTTATTAAATCCTGCTTTACTCCATCCTTTTTCTGGAAGGAAATAGTTCATAATTGATTTGTCTGGAAGTCTTGGAAAAGAAAACGCTTCATCAAAGAACAGATAACTTTGGAATTTTCTAGGTCATTGGAAACAAATGTTCAGATGCTTCCTTCCTGCATGGTTTATCAAATTGTGGGCATATCTGGATTTAGATATGGTTCTGAATAAAAGACTGTTTCTGGAAAGAACTCTTTTTTATTGTATTGGTTCTCTTTCTAAAGCAGTGTTATAATCTTAGTAGCCTTTCTAAAATTCTCCTCTGGAAATTCAAAATACTATATTTTTTTTTCTGTCTTAAATTTCTTCCACTTGTTAAATAGTAAGGCTTCTTGGAAAATTTCATTGTGCACTTCGAAGAATAAAAAATGCCTTTGTGTTTGCGTGATTGACTTGCCCTCAAACAGTGTTTGTTTTTCAAAGATAAAGCTCATTTTGAAATTATTTATTCATACCTAAAATAACTTGTCAGTTTTCTAGTAATGAGCAAACTGGAGCACTGAACTCTTGGTTTACAAAAGAAAATGAAATTAAAGGAACAGCAGAATTTATAGTGTAGGATATCTCACTTGGGAATAAGCATGGATCAAAGTTTTATGGAACAAGGCCTTCCAAAATTTTTGCAAAATATATAGTTGTCACTATATAAAATTTTACTTTGCTACATTTAATTCAATTACTCTGCTTTCTAGTTTTGCTTTTAAAAGCTAGTTATAAATTCCAAGGTCAGTAGAAATTACGAATTATAACAAAAGTACAGAACAGAAGCAGCATTTGGATATTGGATAATCTTTTCTAGTATTTTCCTTTATATCTTCATAGTTTCTGATGAAGAACAATCAGTAGTGTATGTTCCAGGTATGATTGTCTATGTTAATTTGGTAACCTTTCTCTGCTTCGTAAGTGTTAGGAGAAATATGAAACTTTAGAACAACTTTGCAGATATAACTGGATGTAAAACAGTTCATTAGAACCTAAAATTTAAAAAAATTGGCATGACCCTATTAAGGTTCAAAACACTGTCTTATACTTCATGTATTAAGGAGCAAGACATTTTCTTATTTTTATATTACAATTAACCTAAATTTAATATTTCAAAGAAAAGTGTGGAAACATTTTTATATAGAGTTTATGCAATAGACTCTTTAAAGTTTACTGGTTATTACAGATGAGTAGTAAAACTGAACTATTGAAAGTACCCCAACATGTGACAAATCAGATCTTTAATTTCCCCCAACTTATGGTGTGTGTGGCATGTTGTAATTGATTGGTTTTAATATGACTTATGAATGTGCCAGTGCCTTTGAAAAATATTTCAGTTGAATCAGCGCCTTTGAAAAATATTTCAGTTGAATCTTTAATGTATTCAAAACATAATCTTTTCATGATTCATTATTTATTAAGAGAGCTTTAAAATGAAGTAAGTGTTTTCCCTATCAGGTCCTGTAAAATAGAGGATATCAATGGAGAGGTTGATGGGGTGGGGAGGTGGGGGAGAGCTTAAGAGAATAAGAAGATATAATTTTGAAATCTTATTTTGCGCAAATCTTTAGGAATTTCTAAAGAAGGAAATATCAGATCAAGACACAAGTTGATGAGTCCAAAAGCTAATGTTAAACTTAAGACTTCCAGGGTGACTGCTCCTTCATTCTCCATGGAGTCTTTAAAAGGTGCAGGAGATTCCATAAATGAACAGGTCAGTAACTTCTTGTTTTTTTCTTATTCTCCAATTTTTTTATAAATCTGATCAGTTACTGATTTTTCTTTGCTGACTGTCAATTTATTGATGGCTGTGGGTGCCAATTCAATTCCAATAGGAATTCCTGAATCTGGGGTTGTGGTGAAGAAGGAAACTTTATTCAGTGAAAAACTGGTCAATTGTGATAGGCACAGCTGTGAAAACAGCAGGGCTGGAACAGCTCAATAGTGTTGCAGAGCTCAATTAGAAGTAGCAGGGCTGTGAAACAGCATGGCTGTGAAGAGACCCTGGGCAAGGTGGCCCTGGGGTAAGGCGCTCTTAGGGCTAGGCAGCTCTGCTGCTCGGATCTTTTCCAACTGCTTAGATCAACTTCCTCTGGGAAGGCAGTCTTCAGTTGTCAGTGGAAAGGGAAAGTGGGTTCCCAGAGCCAGAGGGGAGTTGACTTAAAAAAAACAGAAGCTCTGGCCCCTGGTCCCTGATTGGTCTGTCCTCATGCAAATGAGGATTCCAAATCCTCACAGTTTTATTGGTCCAAAAACACTGTCCTGATTGTTCAGAATGGGGCTGCTCTGACTGGGTTGTGAAGATGTTTAAGGTGGTACAGCTACACAGCTTCAGTTGGGCTGGGAAGCTCAGCCCTGTTGGTTGAAAGAGGATTCCAGAAACTCATCCAGAGGGCCTGCTCAGAGAGTAGAAACACAGTGTAGGAAAGCAGTTCAATGCAGGAGGCAGGCAGCTTAGTGCAGACTTCTCCCTGAAGTTCAGTTTGTGTGATGAGAGGCCACTGTTTAGAAATGACTTGCTAAGGTTTTTGTTTGTTTGTTTTTAATTTAAGCTCAGTTAAGCCACCATGAGCCCTTCTTAGTAGGGTATCTTCTCAGGATCCACATGACCAATAACTGATATATATGGGTAGAAGAGTCCTTGAAAGAACATTAGATGATCTATAAGCATTTTGAAAAGCTACAGAGAATTCTTGGATGCTTTAATGATGCTTGGTATGAGTATAACGTGTTTAGCTCCAAAATATCTGGGCTTGCTTTAAGGCTTAGTTAAGAAAATTTATTATCTTGGTATGTCTCAAAAGACTTAAATTCTGATCTGAGTGGAATTAGTAAATCAAATCCACGAGGTGTCCTTTATGATTTTTGTTCATTTAAATTTGTTCGTTGATGATGAACAAACCCTAAAATGTAAGAAAGATAGTTTTATTAAAAGAAAATTAGCCTGCATTATTATTATTGTTGTTATTGTTATTATTTCCTTCACTTGGAAAATAATATCATAAAAACTCTTTCTTTTTATAACCCAGTTATTGATTTCTCCTTCATATTTGCCTCAGTAATAGTATCTATATATTCCTTTGACATATCCTGACTCGCTTATTTTACTTTTTGTAATATTTTGTCTTCCCAAGCAAAGTTTAAGTAATGATTTTGAAATCTGTGATGTATAGGCCAAATATGCTTGCCACCTTTTTACAAATAAAGTTTTATTAGAACAGAGCCACACTCATTCTTTTAATAGCTATGGCTCTTTTTTGTTCAGTGGCAGAGTTGCAACAGAGACTGTATGCCCACAAAGCCAAAAACATTTACTAGTGAACATTTATAGAAAAAGTTTTCATTCCTGGGCTTATGTTCTTGAGGATATTTCCAGTATCTAGTTTGTTACAAATTATTATATTGAGTAGTTTATGGGATTTAATTGTAGGCCTGCTTGTGTTCCATGTAAAACCAGTGTACTCACTTCACACTGTGATGTGAATAGTTGAATTTGTAAATTCTAGTAAAATGTTTTAGTTTTTTAAAATAAAATTGTATGCTTGTTTTATATTCAACTATAGCCTTTTGGATTATGTCCATACTTTTTAAATGATTCTATTGGTTTATTAGCTGTAAGTTTCTGTTGGACTATTTCACTGGCTTACGGGATTATAGTATACATCTTTAATTTATCACAGCCTATTTTCAAGGGATATTCTCCTATTTTACCTGTAATTAAGGACCATTCAACAGTATAACTCCTGACTTTCGTGATATTGTCACTCGTTTTACTTTAATACATGAACCGTAAAATATATTATTTTTCTTTAGTCAATTTATTTTCAAATTGAAATATAGTTTACATATATAATACTTACCTTTTTAAAGTATACAACTCATTGGGTTTTGTATATTCACAGAGTTGTGAATCCATCACCACAGTATAATTCCAGAACATTTTCATCACCCCGGAAAGAATCTCTCCCATGTTCATTAGTAGTCACTCGCCATTACCCAATCATCTGGGCCCCTAGCAACCACTAATTTTAGTCTCTATAGATTTTTCTATTCTGGACATTTCATATAAATGGAATTATATAATATGTGGCCTTTAGTGACTGGCTTCTTGCACTTAGCATAATGATATCAAGGTTTATCTATGTTGTATCATGTATTATTGCTTCATTTCTTGCTAACACTTATATTTATCTTTTTATTATAATCTTCCTAGCAAGTATGAAGTGGTATATTAATGTGTTTTGATTTGTATTTTCCTAATGACTAATAATGATGAGCATCTTTTATGTGCTTCTTGGCCATTTGTATATGTTCTTTAGAGAAAGGTATACTCAGATCCTTTTCAGTTGGGTTATTTGTCTTCTTCTCGTTGAGTTGTAATTCTTATAGATTCCAAATACAAGTCTCTTGTTAGATATATGATTTGCAGATATTTTCTTCCATTCTGTGCATTGTCTTTTCACTTACTGGTGTCATTTGAAGCATTAAAATTTTTCATTTTAATTAAGTGCAATTTATCTATTTTTTTCTTTTGTTGCCTGTGCTTTGCTATCATGTCTAAGAAAGTAAAACATTGCTTAATCCAAGGTCTCAAAAATTTACATCAATATTTTCTCCTAAGAGTTGTGTTTTATTATTTTTTTTCAGTTTTAGTTATTGAGTTTTTTTTTTGAAACTTATTTTTATTGTTGAATGTATTACAGATGTTCCTCCTTTTTCCCCTATTGACCCCCTTCTCCCCATTCCTGCCCCCCTCCTGCCTTTCCCCACACTGTTGTCTGAGTCCATTGGTTATGTATATATGCATATAAGCTCTTTGATTTATTTCTTCCCAACTCCTCGCCCCCCTTCCCTTTGAGGTTTGTCGGTCTAACAACCAATTTCTACTTCTTAATCCCTTCACATTTTTCACTCATTACCCCAACCCTCCTCTTATCTGGCAACAAACAAAATGTTCTCCATATCTATGAGAATGTTTCTGTTTTGCTTGTTCATTTTGTTTGTAGATTGAATTGTCGATGGACATGTATTTATTGCCATTTTGTTTGTTCATATATTTTATCTTCTTTTTCTTCAAGAAGACCTTTCAACATTTCATACAAAATAGTTTGGTGGTGATGAACTCCTTTAGCTTTTTCTTGTCTGGAAAACTCTTTATAAGGCTATTGATTCTAAATGATAGCTTTGCAGGATAGAGTAATCTTGGTTGTAGGTTCTTGCTTTTCATCACTCTGAATATTTCTTGCCATTCCCTTCTGGCCTACAAAGTTTCTTTTGAGAAATCAGCTGACAGTCTTATGGGAACTCCCTTGTAGGTAACTAACTGCTTTTCTCTTGCAGCTTTTAAGATTCTCTCTTTGTCTTGAACCTTTTGCATTTTGATGATCATGTGTCTTGGTGTGGGCCTCTTGGGATTCATCTTGTTTGGGACTCTCTGTGCTTCCTGTACTTGTATGTCTGTTTCCTTCACCAAGTTAGGGAATTTTTCTGTCATTATTGTTTCAAATAGGTTTTCAGTTTCTTGTTCTCTCCCTTCTCCTTCTGACACCCCCCAAGATGCGAATATTGGTACGCTTGAAGTTGTCCCAGAGGCTCCTTACACTATCCTCATTTTTTTTTTTTTTTTGCTGTTCTGATGGGGTGTTTTTTGCTTCCTTATATTCTAAATCGATGGTTTGCTTCTTGGCTTTACCTACGCTACTATTGAATCTGTAAATTATTCCTTATTTCAGTTAGTGCCTTCTTCATTTCTGACTGGTCCTTTTTTATGCTCTTCTAAGTTTATTTAAATTCTCACTAAGTTCATTGAGCATCCTTATAAGCAGTGTTTTGAACTCTGCATCTGTTAGGTGTCTTATCTCCATTTCACTTAGTTCTTCTCCTGCAGTTTTGTTCTGTTCTTTCATTTGGGACCTGTTTCTTTGTCTCCTCATTTTGGCTGCCTCCCTGTGTTTGTGTCTATGTATTAAGTAGAGTTGCTATGTCTCCTGGGCTTCCTAGGGTGGTCTATTATAGTGGGTGTCCTGTAGGGTCCAATGGCACAGCCTCCCTGATCTCCCAGCTAGGCCCTCAAGGTACACCTCTCTTGTGGACTTGAGTTGTAATTGAGTCTTGATTGCTGTTGGCACATCAATGAGAGGGTTTTACTCAGGCTGATCAGCTTCAAGGATTGGCTGTGCCCACTGTCCACTCACTTCTGACTACCTTGGATAATCAGCTGTGCAGGGGCCCACCACACAGAGCAAGACTTACTTCAGCAGGGCTCTGGTACCCACTGAGTCCATTCCTTGAGTGTGTCACTTGTGGAGGTGGTTGGGTGGTGGTGCTTCGCAGTGCTCTGAAGCTGTCCACTGGGTGTGCTGGCTCTGGGGCAAGGTCAGCCACTGCCTGTGTTCTACCTGGGGCCACCAGGCATATGATACAAAGCAGTTTGCAGAGGGCTGCTTCTTGTGCTGGGCTTGGAGGTGGCCAGGCAAAGCCAAGTTGTGAACCAGGGCTGGCTGCTGCTTGGGCCAGGCCTGGGGCCTTTTAAGAAGAGGTTTGGGGCTTGCTGAGACCAGATGCTGCTTGTTTGAAAGAATTTAGGAAAATCTGAAGCAGGATCCAAGATAGGCCATTTCTATGGTAAAGCAACTGGCAACAGCTTGGGTGGGCCTGAAAGTTGGGTGGGGCAGGGCCTCAGAGAATCACCAGGGCGGGGCAAATAGTGTGAGC